ATCAGGCACGTATACAAACTCACAATTTCCATATGATATATACATCTCTTTTTAGAAAGACTGAGAAAATGACAATACACAGAGGAATCAGCCTTTCAGAGAAGGGAAAGGCTAAAAAACAAAAGGATGAAATTGATAGTTATTTTTATGTGGTCTTTAGAGTCATTCATGTCTTCATCTGTCATTAATATGACTATACTATATTCATTCAAGGTGTGCTGCACACAGCTTGAAAAGGAGAGAATAAAGTAGGGGCTAGGAAATCAAAGGGCAGAGGCAAAATCAGACAAGGTGAAAAACAACAAACCTTTTTCCATACTTTGATTTGAGCAAACGTCCATGAGACCAATAAGAAGTCCATACCTGTTTTCAGAACCGCACACTTCTTAGGGTACCACCAGCCTCATGGAACTGGAACCGTAGGAACAGGTGATTTTCTCCAAAATTCCCCAGAAAGTAGCCCTGTTTTCTTTAGCAGTGCTCCAGGCCACCCTGTAGTTCAATCACCATGATGACTGCCAACTCTGTTGATCTTTTGCAATTTAAAACTAAGTTCTAAGCTGGAAATTTCCTGATTATATATTTTTGAATATTCCTGCCAGTTGAATCAAATCCAGCAATGTCCCAATTTCAACCAAAGGCCTCGATTTGTATACTCTCTAATATATGTCTGGGGATAGAAGCCAGAGAAGAATTTATGTGTGGTATTCTTGGAGGATTTGGAAAGCAGGGGTAGCAAGATTTAGAATGAGTTAATGATAAGTATATCATAGATCTTATGGGGAACGACAAAGCACTGGAAAAGAGAAAGAGAAGAAGGAAGGCAGAGTAGCTAATTAAAAAACAAACAAAAAACCTGTTTCCTCTTCTTGGAAACACTCAGCACAGAGCTGGGCCAAAGTCACTGACAGAAGGACCAGATAACAAAGGCCAAAAGAAAGAGACTTTCGTTCAAGATCACTATCCTCTATTATGGCCAGTTGTCTTCTCCTTACACTACATCATCCTTCTTTTTCATGCTCTTTTCTCTAAAAAGTGTCACACAAACCCTTGGAAACAGACATTTCCCCAAACATTTTGCAGCAGATGAAGAGGAAAAACATAGATGATGTCATTCTGTATTTTACCTGACTTTCCAGAGGACAGACATTCTAAAAAAGGATTACTGGAAAAGTGCATGAACTTAAATTCAAATGTGGTCAAAGCTTAATTCAGTATGTCCCTTCAAGGGAAAAAAGCAGCTGTGTTCTGAAACGTGAGTAATAACACCCTCTGACTTCTATTGAAATGACACCTGAGACAGAAGAGGGAAATCCCTCCCTCTGAAACTCAGGCTACAAATCAATCTCATCACAAAAACTGGGTAAGAGGAAGGATCTGCCCACCTATTACCAAAACAGCTTGAGATCCCAGAACAGACTGAACTATGAACTTTGACATCTAGTCCACAAGGAGAGAGGTTTGAGAAGTTCTGATTACCTGGACCTGTTATAGTTGCCTAGCCTTCTCGAACTTTTCCACCCAAGTGCCAATAATACCAGGGATGGAAAAAAGAAGACACATGATAAAAATTATATGTCTTTGAATTCTTAGTTTTTCTTAAAACCTAAGATTCATAAACTAACTAAGATCCACACTTATTTGCATTCTTCGGCATAACATATCACTTTGGTCTCAATTCAAGTTTTTACTCCAAATCAACAATTAAAATTGACTTCAGGAAAATGTGTCACTTTCACTTTGTGACTCTCCATTCCCCTGGGTGCACATTTATATACATCAGCATTCAAGGTATTAGATTAAAGGACTCTTGCTTTGTTTTGTTTTCTTTGGTTTCTATTCAACCACTGTTCATTTAGTGGGCACTATGTATTCTTCCTCTGATGTTCTCCCCAAAATTAACTTCCTCAGTATGTTAAAGGCTTATCTTAAGAATTCAAAATTGATTTCCAAAACCCAATCTTGGCTCTTTACCTAAATATCGAACTAAAACTAGTTACACTCTTTCTATACTGTGATCAAAGTAGGGAACACATCTTTGCTGACATATTTCTTCTCAATGATGGTTTTGGGGGCTCTGAATAGAAAATCTTTTATCATGTTTAGAAAACCTGCCGGTATCTATGTCCTGGAAAAGAGGCATTGCCATGGGACGCCTGGGTGGTCAGTCGGTTAAGTGTCTGCCTTCGGTTCAGGTCACGATCCCGGGGTCCTGGGATCAAACCCTGAATCAGGCTCCCGTTCAGTGGGGAGCCTGCTTTTCCCTCTGCCTGCTGTTCCCCCTACTTGTGCTCTCTCTCTCTCTCTCTCTGAGACAAATAAATAAAATCTTAAAAAAAAAAAAAAAGAGGCATTGCCTTCCTAGAATAAAGAATTCTGGAACGTGTCTAAAGATGACTTTTCACGGCTGATCAGATGATATATGTGAAATTAAGTGCAAGATAAAATGTGGATAGAACAGAGAAAGGAAGTCCAGATACCCCGATCAAATAACTCCTTCAGTTCTCTATTCTGCAAATAGGTATCTAAGCCAGAAGATGCTAAGTTCAACTTAGAATGAGATTTTTCCACCTTCATGCTTTCCATAAATGAACTATAATTTTTTTAAGAAGCCAAAAATGGAATCATATTACATGATTCCATTTATATGAAAAGTCCAGAAAAAGCAAGATTTATAGAGATAAAAAGCAAACTGGCAGTTGTATAGGGCTAAGGATAAGAGCAGGGATTAACCGCAAATGGACATGAGGAAAATCTAGGGGGTGGGGTGATGGAAAGTTCTAAAATGTGATTGTGGTGGTGTTTGGACAACTCTACACATTTAATAAAAATCACTGAATTGTAGGCTTACAGTGGATGAATCTTGTGGTATGGAAATTATATCTCAATAAAGCTGCTTGAAGAAAGAGAAAACGCAAGTCTTTAGGGAAAAAAAGGATGTTTCAATTAGGCTTTTAATGATCTAAATATCATGAGAAATTTCTGGCTAATTAGAAATGTTTAAACACAGCAAAATAGGACATTGCTTAAATTAACTGAAAATGACTCCGAAACAAGCATAAAGCACTCTACTTTAGGAAGTGCTTGTTTATATCGATCTTTTACATTTCTTTTGTGAATTTACATGGAACATTTGCCCCCCAAAAAAGTGTTTTGGGCTTTATTAGTTTGTCATTCTGATAATCAATCTCCCAAGAAAGAAGGTTAAACTAGTAGCACCTATAAAATATGATGGAATAAACAAGCAAATGAAATATAAAAGTTGGATTATTTCCTTTTCTGAATTTGTTCCTACTGAAAGGTCCTAATGAGGAAAGAAGTAAAAAATGAAGGGGTCATACTGAGAATCATGTGTGTTAGGTGCTCAATCAATCTAATTTCGTCTTCCCGGATCCACAGGAGGAACATTTCCCCAGCTTCCTTTCGGTTTTGGATGGAGTCATGTCTGAGAAAATATGGGCAGAAGTGATGTCCATCACTTCCAGGCAACGCAATAAAAACACATCACAAGGGTTGCTGGAGTGGTGGGGGGTGGGAGGGATGGGGTGGCTGGGTGATAGGCATTGGGGAGGGTATGTGCTATGGTGAGCAGTGTGAATTGTACAAGACTGTTGAATCACAGATCTGTACCTCTGAAACAAATAATGCAACATATGTTAAGAAAAAAGAAAAAGAAGAGGATAGCAGGAGGGGAAGAATGAAGGGGAGTAAGTCGGAGGGGGAGACGAACCATGAGAGACGATGGACTCTGAAAACTGAGGGTTCTAGAGGGGAGGGGGTGGGGGGATGCATTAGCCTGGTGATGGGTATTAAAGAGGGCACATTCTGCGTGGAGCACTGGGTGTTATGCACAGACAATGAATCATGGAACACTACATCAAAAACTAATGATGTAATGTATGGTGATTAACATAACAATTAAAAAAAAACCACATCACATTATATCCAAGCTCTTTCTCTCTTCCCTATGGATAGGGCTGGAAGTTAGAACTCCAAGATGGTAAACCCAGGCCATGAAAGAGTCCTAGATGCCTGAACTACTTCCTTGAAGAGAGCTGGCATTGGCACTGAATTTTGCCTGAAGGAGAAATAAACCTGTCTTCTGTCGAGCCATTGAAATGTTGGCACTGTTTGTTATAGCTAATTGCCCTAATTACCCTAGTTAGTTATTTAATTATCTTAACTGATATAAGATGCTATAAGACTCAAACTATATTTCTTCCTTTCTTCTTTTTGTCAACTAGACCTATTCTTTCCCTTCTGCCCACCCTTCCTCTTTCTCTCCCTGTTCTCTGACCTCAAGACTCCAGTTAATGTTCATTTCTGAGGCAGAGGAAGAAATACATGAGTACTATTCAGCATGCACTTCATGAACACCCTTCTTCAAGAACCAGAATATTTGAATGGGATAAAGTAAATATAATAGGCTGTAATTTTTCATTCAGAAGAGCCAGAACGTGTCTCAAGACTTGAGTTAAAATGTTGCATTATCACCAAGAACAATGCTTTGCCCGCCTTCTGAGAAAAAAATACCCTACAGTTGATAAATGCTGGGAAAGAAATGTCAGAGTTGGCAGCCACCTTCTGGGTCATGAACTTTGCTTTTATTTTCTGAAGCTTTCAGTAGTGGAGAAGTGCATTCTGGTTGCTCTAATGTTTTTGGTCCACCCCTGAGGATTATTTCCCCCAAAACAATAAATTACCATTTAAATTCATTTTCAAGTTGTTTCCTTATCCAGATGCCCTTTCCTCCTTTTCTGCATAAAGAGCAAATGCAAGGAAAGAAGAGAGGACCCACTCCAATTCAGAAACCATGCCCTGGGCCACACTCAGCCCGTTACCCTCACCCCAGCCCTTCATCTTGTCAACCCCAACTCCCCCCAACTCCATAGTCAGAACACAAAATAATTCAAACAAAAAACAGCTCATAAAACAGTAAACAAAATAAAGTCAGTTTTTCTTTTCTTTAAGAACAAAATGAAACTTGAGGGAAAACTTACTGGAGTTACAGTTTATCCTGATACAGTCTAGATGGGGAAAAATAAATGAAAGATGAAATTGCATCCTTCAAGGTAACAGCTGCAGACATCCAAAAACAATCAGTCCACCCTTCCGGGGACAGACACACGCAAGAAATGTGGCCATTTTATATATATACAGTATGTACAAGTTTAAGGGTGGGTGTATATGTACAGTATATTGTTTAGTAAAGTTGGATACATATATATATACACACACACACATATATATATACACATATGTATAAAGATATATACTGGTATACATATATATCCACAATAGACACCGAGTATGCTGCTCCTTTTTTTTTTTTCAAAAACCTACTCCTTTATATAAAGTATTTCAAACCTGAACTTTGAAATATTAATTTTGTTCAACTTGGAAAATTATGTAAAAATTTCTCCATCAAATGCAGGTTATATTCTAGTTCCCCCATAATGATTTTCTTAAAATTTATCTTTAAAAATAGCATCAACACAATTTTTATATTAGTTTTCCAAAGATATATTACCAATCTGACACATTGTTTATATTTTTAAAAAATCCGTCCATGAAGTTTCTCAGTGCAGTATTTAACCCTTTCTCTTTTTCTAAAAACAAACTCCCTCCACCCTCTTCTTTGCTAGGGCCCCAGATGCTATAGAAATTTACATAGGCAGACGTGCCGTTATCCCTAGAGATAAGGAAAGGGTTAATACCACCTGGTCATTTCCTGTCATAAAATGGCCACTTGCAAACAGCTAACCGCACAAACACCCATCCCAGATTTTAGAGAGGTGGGGTTGGGTGTAGGGTAAAAGGAGTTGTACGATGTTATCACAATTGACTGTGTTCTCTGCTATTGTTTCAAAGGCTCCCAGACCAACCCACTCATGAAGCCCATCTTCGTCTTCCTGCCTGAATGCTCAGATGGAATCAAGTGCCTACAGCATTCAAGGAGAAGGCGAGACAGGTATATGGGGAGGAGGTCTTGGGCACCTTTGACATCCTACCTATTTCACTCTAATTCTGCATCTCGAGGGAAGAAAATTCTTTGTTTTTACATTTTTTGATGGGAAATAGAGGGAAGAAAGGGTGGCTAATTTTCCAGTCCTGGTAACCTGACAGGGCATCCTATGCCAGAGTTCTGAGTATCTATCCTTTTATTAATATCTGTTTAGAGTCATGAACACCCAGCACAAAAGGTCTAGAGTCAATGATTATATTTGTAGGGGACTGGGTAGAACAGTTAAAAAAGGTCTCAGATTAGTTGTGACAAAGTTGCCCACTTGAAACTAAATTTGACTTATCATGGTGGGAATGCCCATAAGAATTTGTTTAAAGCTGGATACTAAAAAGTAGAAGTAAGACAAGAAAAAGAAAAAAATGTTACAGGAAAAAAAAATACAGTTGGAAACTGAGCTCCTCTGCCTAAGGCTGATCCAGTAGTTTTGGAGGACTCTTCAAGGATAATGCCACCATTTGAATTTCCCAAAGTGAACCATTTTAAGTAAGCAAGTGAAAGAGGAACCAGTGGCAAAGGACAGGGCAGAATGAAACTATGGACATCCAGACAGGAGAAATCTAGAACACCCAATCATTCTGAGGAAGGAGGTGGGATGCTTATTTGTTCCCCAGAAGAACATCTCTTGAGAAAAATCTGGGTTTGGTTTCGTGCGGTTAGGTTTGTCATGTGTCGTCAACCGCAACAGAAAAGTGGGAGCAAACAGCCCTGGAGCAACTGGTACGATCACCAAACAGAGGAGGCCATGCCCCTGGTGAGGACTGGGAAGGGGGAGGGCAAAGTAGGGAGGAAGGGGTGGGCTTCAGCTACGGGTTGCACCTGCCATCAGCCAAAGCTGGAGAAATGCCCCTTCCTGATGTATTCAGGAGACAGGGGAAACAGTTGGATGGGCATGCTTAAGAGAGGAGGGACGAGAAAGTGGGCCTAAAGCAACAAACCTGAGAACTGTCAACAAGAAGGAGTTGTCTTCCTTCGTTTCTATGCTGTTGAGGATTTTATTTTAATTTTTTAATTGTTTAAAGATTTTATTTATTTATTTATTTATTTGAGAGAGAGCACAAGGGTGGGGGAGGAGCAGAAGGAGAAGGAGAAGTAGGTTCCCTGCTGAGCAGGAAGCCCGATGCTGGGCTTGATCCCAGGACCCTGGGATCATGACCCGAGCCGAAGGTAGATGCTTAATGAACTGAGCTACCCTGGCACCCTGAGGATTTTATTTTTAGACAAGGACCTGGTCTAGAGAGGGGTGCTGGGTTCACTCAATGGTTCCATGAACTGAACGGTGTCTCTAAACCAATGTGAGGACTTGGAGTTCTCCAGATGGTAGACAACTGGTTAAGCCAAGAAGTGACGAATTATTTTGATACTTTACCTGAAGAATGGAAAAGAAAGGAAAAAAAATATCTATCCCAGTGCCTTGCTCATAGGCTCTGAGAGGGTAGTCTTGATAATGAGGATGTATTTTTTAACAAAAAGTGAATCCAGGGAATTGGGCTGGGAAAGCAACTTCCTTAGATCTATCTTGAATAGCAGCCAAAGTTCAATCTCTGCCTTACCCTTGGCAAGGTATCTGAGACACACATATGTGTGTCTGTGTATGTCTGTGTTGTTGATCCTGTTTCATTTAGATGTTTTTTGTTTTATTTTAGTAAACGAGAAATTATTATTTTCTAGATTAGTAAGCTTTGGGTTGAGAGCATAGAAGAGGTGAACGTTTCTAGGAATTGTGTGTTTTCAACAATGCACACTGTAAACAGTCATCAGCAAGCCCATATTGCCAGAGAGAGAGAGCATCTGGAGAATTTGAATACAACTAACCAAACTGCATGACACTCCCTATGAGCCTCCACCATTGAAGGAGGCTTGCTGGTGTTCTGCTGAGGATTCAAAAGGGCCATGAATGAGATGCCAATACTGACTGATTTTTCAGCTGTATAGCTCAATTCAAACCAGGCACTAGGGAAAAAAGACTCCCTCTATGCATGTTTAAAAGTTAACCATCATGAAAGCAGTTAGAAGTCATCAAGACTGCTACATCATTGAGCCACACAGTACTGACCCGTGGAGATAACAGATAACCCACGCTGATGCAGCATTTTAAGAAACCCAGGTTCTAGGGGCACCTGGATGGCTCAGTCGTTAAGCGTCTGCCTTCGGCTCAGGTCATGATTCCAGGGTCCTGGGATCGAGCCCCGCATCGGGCTCCCTGCTCGGTGGGAGGCCTGTTTCTCCCTCTCCCATTCCCCCTGCTTGTGTTCCCTCTCTCGCTGTGTCTCTCTCTGTCAAATAAATAAATAAAATCTTTAAAAAAAAAAAAAAAGAAAGAAAGAAACCCAGGTTCTAGTCTCAGCTCTGCTATCGACTTTTTATGTTAGCTCTGAAAAGTCCTACATTTCTTTATTTGTCTCACATCTGTAAAAGTAAGCATAAAAACACTTCCTTGGTTTATCTCACAAAATTACTGGCTGACTGAAATAAGGTTTTTAAATATTTAAATATACTATAATAGCAAAATATTATATGTTTTAATTGTAAGGGATCAAAATATGATTGATCAATAGCCAATCTCTCAACTTTCAAAAACAGACTGTGTGTTGTAGGATCCTTTCCACGCCTGCTCTTACCACATCCAGCTGTCTTCAGAGAGCAAGGCCCTTAGGAAAGCCTAGTCTCCTTGACATTTAGGCGATGGATATATTACATCAGAGAAATATATACTAGGCTTTACATCATGAGCTTATATGCATGACCAATTTGAAATAAACTGTAATATCATTAGTGCATATTCTAGAAAGGAGACAACTGAAATGGTAAACAAAATGATCATCGGAAGTTAGTTCTTGAAGAAAGAGCGTGAATGCAAACCCTGCTTAGAGATGTTTTCTTCTCTAACTAAGTAAAGGGAAATATGAACTCATAATAGGAGAAAACATTCACAAAGGGGTATATTTTGGGGAGGGAAGGGAAAGAGAACCTTTAAATAAAGCATGAATGTAAAGAGTTTTATATACATAGGCACAGGGAATTTCAGTTTGGTTTTCCATGTTCGGTTTGAAAGAGAGGTAAATATATTCAAACCAGTCATTCTGGTGAACCATACTCTTCAGGGAAAAAAAGAAGTCATTATTGCTTCTGAAAAGGACAGTGCTCTCCAACTCTGTCTTACCTAAGATATCTCAATTTTGGAGGAGCTAGACTGAGTGTATGCTAGAAGGAATCAAGAGGCAGATGCAGTCTTTTTGAGAGGCACTTCTCCCAGATGTGGGGCAAAGTTTAAAATATAAAAATAATGTTTCTAGGAATATACACGGGAACTCTACTAACCGCATGTGCTCATGCGTGTGCATGTGTGTAAAAGAGAATCTGTCCATCTCCTTCCTCATCCCCTCTTATCTTCCCCCACTTGTATCTTCTTCTAAGATATGAGACCTACCACAATCGGCTTTCTCATTTTATAAAACAATGTCTAAGAAGGAAAATCTATTTTCTGTTTACGGACAGTATACATTTCCCCAGGATCCCATGGGGCTAATCATCCTTATATAAGTGCTTCTCTCTTACTTTGAAATAGATTCAGTTAAAAAAAATTGTCTTCATCTTTTTCTGTGAGCTATTTAGGATGTTATGTTCATTTTTTTATTTGTTTTTTTTAATTCTTTTTATTTCTTATGCTATTTTTCAGAGAAGTAAACAATCAGCTACTGGTTGTTGGTTTTAGGTCATATACACTCTTTTGTTGGTTTATTGGAGGTGGGGAGGATGGTGTAGGGAAGGGAAGGTGAGAGGGACAGGGGTATGCCAGCCCCTGCAGGCTGCTCAGTACGCTCTGTTCTCAAGGCTGTTTGCTATGCGGGCCGCAGGCTTTGGGCCTTTGAAGGGTTGAATACCATCTTTTGATTTACCATGGCTGATGGTGGGGAGGATTGAAAACTCAAGAACACAGAGATCCAGCAAAAAGAAAAACAAAACCCAAAATAACCAAACATACACATACACAAACCAAAGAAAAACCAACAGACACACTGACAACAGAAATCAAATGAGGTTGGACAAGAAAAAGGGCATAGTGTTGTAAAAGCTGCAAATTGGAAGGAAAAAAAAAAAGACATAAGTAAAGCCACTGCTCAAAACAGTCCTCTGTGTCCTAAAGATTTTTAGGATCGTAGTGTAGGCATTTCCCAAGTGCAACCAGTCAACCTGACAGCAGGTAAGACTGGTATAGATTCCAAACTCCACCTCCCCACTAGGCCATCTAAGGTTTTATATGGTCTTGTATCTGGTACGTTTGTCCATCACGTCTTCCCCATGCCTCTGACAAACCATTCCACTGGAATCTTTGTAAAGGAGCTCTGTGTCCAAACATATGCTATATTCCCAAACAAATCCATGGCTTAGAAAGCTTGGACTCAGCCATACCACTCATCATGTTGACACAGGGCACTGACTTTCTACTGAGTAGAAATGAGGTTGGTTTCTTTCCTTCCAGAAATCAAGAGGTTCCCATCCTCCATAGAAGATCAATTAGAATCCAGTCAAGAAGGTCAGTAGCAGGAGCGAAGTGGAGCTATCAGGAGGGGAGTTTACAAAGTATCTATTACAGATAATTACAGTGGAAGAACAGATCCTCTCCCAATAAAGCTGTAAATTTGAAATTGTCATCATTTTTCAATACTAAGGAAAATTCATATGTATTACATGAGGAGGACAGAGGAATTGGTGAATAACAGTGTGAAACGACAATCTTGATAAAAGGGGCTGCTAGACGATGGGGAAGAATGTCAGGAAGGAAGAAGGGGATACATATCAGGGGCCACATTCTCCTTCCACATGTCAGAGACTCTATAAACTTACGGAATTATTTCTCCAATGGGACAAGAGAAACAATCTGACTTGTCCTCCCACTAGGAGAAAGTACAAGTTTGCCAGAATTCCCCATTTGTGGGGAAAGAAACAATGCAGTTCTCCTCCTACTCACAAAGCTTATTCTCTCCAACCCCAGGCTCCCATTTTGCCTCCATTTGCTGTCTTATCTCTGCCCTCAGCTTTGACTGTTTTGAGTGGTGACCAAGCAGTTGGACTTAATGGCAATGTGATTGATCAAAAGATGGACCAAAGTAGCGTGTTTTACACAAAGCTAAACGGTTCCAAAAAACCAAGAAAGGAAACTTAAAAAATAAATAATCTAGTAAAAAAAAACAAAAACAAAAACAAAAAAACCACCACTGTCAGAAACCAGAAACTGACATCAAAACCTCATGCAGAAACAAGGAGAAGGTGTTTGTTGCTGTTGGGTTTTATCCTTGGTCTATTAAACAAGAGGTGAGCAGCTAACTTTTAAGAAACAAACAAAGAATTCAATCAAACCAATGAAAATCAGAAAAGAAAGGGAAGACAAGCCCAAACAAAGTGGCAGAGGGTACTTCATACGATACCTAAGTTAACCATGAGCTTGACACGCCCCCCATCCAGCTCCAAGCGCAGGGTGTCCGCAGAGTCCCTAGATGTAGTAGCCACCAGCAGTCCATAAGCTCGCTGGGACATGAAGCGGAAAGACACATCCTCTGCCTCGGTGTGCATGACCATGGGCATGATGATCTTCATGTACATGCTGCCATCATAGCTCAAGATGGACGCCTCTGCAAAGAAGAATGGAAGAGACTGTCAGGATGAAGGATATCAGAGTATCCCTTTGCTTCCAGGGTAAGGACAGTAGGGTAGAGAGGGCATGAAATTTGTAGCCAGGCGATTCATGTTGGATAGACCTCCAGTGTCACCACTTTTAAGCTATATGACCTTGGGAAGACCACTTAAACTCTGAGGTTCTATTTCCTTATTTGCCTTTAAAAGGCATACAATGGCACACGTCCCTGCCCTCCCATGCTCACAGACTTATCAAGTGTACCAAATGAAATAACAGATGTGAAGATGTTTTGCAAATGTGAAAATGCTCCCCACACATAGTAGTGATTTAATTTCATGTGCTATAGACAAAACAAAAATGCATTAAACAAAACTTAGACTCCTGAAAGTATTTCATGAAGAACAAGAGGAGGGTGCCTGGGTGGCTCAGTTGGTTGGGCGACTGCCTTCGGCTCAGGACATGATCCTGGAGTCCCGGGATCAAGTCCCGCATTGGGCTCCCCGCTCAGCAAGGAGTCTGCTTCTCCCTCTGACCCTCCCCCCTCTCATATAAATAAATAAAATCTTAAAAAAAAAAAAAAAGAACACGAGGAAAGCAGCAATTTATAACCACCAAAGCAAACAGACATTTGCCAGAACTTCTAGGAGGAAAGAGTAGCAGCCCAGCCTGGTCCCAAAACAGCCCTAGCAGCCAGGCACTGTAGGAGTTTACTTGACTCATTCAAAGAGGATCTACAGAACCAGAGCTAGAACCACCACCACAAAAAGATAATGACGCCCCGAGAATCAGTAATTCTACTTTCATTCAAATAGCCCTTGTCTGAGGAAGGAAGAAACTCGCTTTTATTTGATGCCTGCTCTAGCCCAAGCACTTCGGCTAGGAGCGCCCCTACTCCACTCCATTATGTTAACTCTCTTAGTGGCAGATGTTAACATCTCAAAGTCAGACAGCCTGGATTTTAAGCCAGTATGTCCAGTACAAATCCAGGGCCCGTTTGCAACACCATGCTGCTCAAAATGTGAATTTGTTCAACTGTTCATTTAGCAAACATTTTTAGAGAACACCAAAAAGAGAATATCACTCACATTCCTATGAAGCCAACCTGCCACTGGGCTCAGTATCTGGCACTAAGTAGGCCCTCCTTAAGTATCTGCTGTTATCAAATAGTTGCTACCTACCTGCATGGACTATGGAGGGTTTAAAAGAGAAAAGGTCCTTGCTCTGAAGGGAGACATGGCATGTGCAAGTAACTGTACTAGAATATAAAAATGGTTAAATGACCCAGGAAATATATATCAGTAAAGCCAGGGGCACTTAGGAGAGAGAGACTGTGGCAGTTGAGTAGAGAAGTGGGGGTATAGTTTAAGATGCTCTTAGTTTGTAATGACATCAGATTTGTCAGTAGATAAAATAACATCTCTATACACATAAAGGAAAAAAAGAAGGGGAATGTTCAGACAAAAACAAGCTATTCAATTTAACAGAAGCCATCTAGCATATTTTGAGAAGTAGATATATAACAGTTATTTGAGATTACAATAAAGTCAATGGACTTGGGTAGATACTGGGAAGTAAGTGAATGGTTTTAGATCATGAAATACCATGATGCATTCATTTCTGATATTGTATACCAGGCACTCTTTTAGGTGTTGTGGATATAACAGTGAACAAAAGAGACAAACATCTTCTGCCTTCATGTATAAAAGAAATCAGAATGGGAAGAGACCAGGCCAACCACCTGGAAGGTACTCAAGATAGTCTATGTCATCATCATATCACCAGCCTATTTACACAACACACAAAAGGTCCATGAAAAGCAATATAAATATACCTGCTCATTCCTGAGAAGCAACCATCACCTGGGTAATACCCAAGACATGCTAATAGCCATACATTACCATCTGCAAAGTCTAAAAAGATCACAAATAAATGTGTAACAGTTGCAGACACTATCACAATAAAAGACATATTATGAAGATGTATTCTTAAATGGGAAACATAATCTAAATTTAACACATGCTCCAGATGTGAAAGAAACTATTTTATCTTCTGCAAGAGCAGAATCAAAGAAGATCAAAAATGATAGTTAAAATTTACTGAGCACTTCCTGTTTGCCTGGTGCTTTCTAGAACTTTACATGCATCAAGACATTTAATGCTTACAAGAACACCGCAAGGAAGAAAATTTCGTATTAGATATTATAGATACCAGGTTACACAGCTAACAAGGGGTAGAGTTGGGAGTTAAACACTTCAGTTTGATTCTTATGGCTATATCCTTAACCATTCTGCCAAATTGTCAGAGGGCTATGCCAGGAGCACACCCGTGTTTCTAAGCACTGAAAGCATATCTATAATGCTTCATTCATGGAGTGTGGTATTCTTGTGTGTGTGTGTGTGTGTGTGTGTGTGTGTGTGTGTGTGATACACATGTTATTATTTAAAGCTGTACATTATTTATAAACATATAAAATTATATAAATATAAATACATACATTTCTAAATATGTTATATATGAATATGCACAATGCTTTTTGTGTAATTATGAACACTATTAATCATTATTACTATGTGCCCTCTACTATACACACCCACACATATGTACACTCCTTTTTAAAAGAGATTATTCAGTGAGCCATGAAATGGTTGTTTTGATGTATTCAACTTAAATACAATCCAAAAGTAATGGTCACTTTTATCCCTCTGGATATGTCTAGTGCCAGAACATATGTATAAGTAAATGCATCTTTATGTCAATATTGGTACTATCAGAGAATAAATTTCATATGAGTATGTAGTTAAACAGCTTGTGGTACAAAAAAGTGTGTATCTCAATGTGTACCTTTGTGTGCATCTCTGTGAGTGTGTTCTATGATCAACCTAATATTCTTAAGGGGAGTGTGATGAAGCAGAAAATTAATATAGGAATCAGCTGAAAAAAAAATCCATTCCAAGATTCTTATTAATTTGCTTAAAAATTTTCAAACACAAGGAGCACCATGAATACAGTAATACTTTGAGGGAGAAAGTGACTCTGAATAAGGAAAGTTATTCAACCTGAAACATGTTGGACTACTGAGTTTTGAAAGACCACATCACGGGATGCCCACATAATGGTACTCACACAGTTCCCCTATTTTGTTCCTCTTTCCTTATTTACTATCTCCTTTCATCTTAAATGAATATTTCCTGGCATACTAATTCCATTCCTTTAATGATTCTTTACTATGTTTTTTAGCTACTTTCTTAGTGATTGCTCTAGGTCTTACAATATACATCTTATCAAAATATACCTCATATTTATACTCACTTAATTCCTGTAAGATACAGAAACTTTACTCTTACATAGCTCTCTTCCCTTCCTCCTTATTTTTTTATTCTTATCCACATGATGTCTATATATGTTACAAACTCAACAAAACTTTGTTATAATGATTGCTTTTTAAAAACATGTCTTCTGGGGGCACCTGGGTGACCCAGGTGGTTTAAGCATCCAACTCTTGATTTCAGCTCAGGTCATGATCTCACGGTCGTGAAATCCAGCCTGCATCGGGCTCCACACTCAATAGGGAGTCTGCTTGAGATTCTCTCTCTCCCTCTTCTCCTCCCGCTCTCTCTCTCTCTCAAAAGTAAATAATTAAATCTGTAAAGAAAAAATTTAAAAAAAATGTCTTCTTATGAAGCAAAGAGAAGGGGCGCCTGGGTGGCTCATTCGTTAAGCGTCTGCCTTTGGCTCAGGTCATGGTCCCAAGGTCCTGGGATCAAGCCCCACATCGGGCTCCCTGCTCCACGGGGAGTCTGCTTCTCACTCTCCCACTCCCCGTGCCTGTGTTCCCTCTCTCGCTGTGTCTCTGTCACATAAATAAATAAAATCTTAAAAAAAAAAAGAAGCAAAGAGAAGAAAGGAGAGCTCAAATATATTTATGGAGTTGTTGTTTTTTTTAATTAAGCTTATTATTTACCATTTCTGTCTCTTCATTTCTTCTTGCAGATTCAAGTTACCATCTGGTGTCATTTCCCTTCTCCAATATAGCTTCATTCATTTGTAGTTTATTGTCAAATATATCACAATTCTATACGTTATAGGCCCAACAATACAATTTTATAGATACTGTTTTATGCAATTGTGTTTTAAATCAGCTAAGAGAAAAAAGAAAAAGAAATGGGTAATTATGTTGTCTGTTATCATTACCTACATAATTACCTTTACTGGAGCGCTTTGTTTTTTCATGTAGGTTCCAATTACTGTCTGCTGTCACTTCCTTTCAGCATGAAGAATAAAAGCAGTGAGCACTTCTTATAAGGCAGGTATCCTAGCTGTGAACTCTCTGAGTTTACCTGGGAATGTCTTTATTTCACCCTCACTTTTAAAAAGACAGCTCTGTCGGATACAGGGATCCGACAGACAGCCACACAAAGAGTGGCTGACACTCTTTGTCTTCGAATGTTGTCTTGCTGCCCCTGGCCTCCACTGTTCTGAAGAGACATCAACTGTTAATCTCACAGCAGCACCCTTGAATGTGACAAGTCATTTTCCTCTTGTTGCTTTCAAGATTTCTTCTTTATCTTTGGCTTCCAACAGCTTTACTTAGATGGGTCTGGACGTATATCTCTTTGAATTTATCCTACTTAGAGTTCATTCACCTTCTCTGCTGTGTAGATTCATGTTTTTCATTAAATTTGGGGAATTTTCAGTCATTAATTCTTTGAATATTTTTCTGTCTCCTTCTCTCTCCTTCTTCCCAGTACTCCCATCTTACATACCTTGAACACTTAAAGATGCCACACATTTCTCGGGCACTCTGTTCATTTACCTTCATTCATTTTCTTTCTTCTATTCAGACGGTAAATAATCTCTTTCAATCTATCTTCCAGTCTGCCGATTCTTCTGACTCAAATCTATTGTTGAGCCACTCTAGTGAATTTTTTGTTTGGGTTCCTGCACTTCTCAACTCCAAATTTATGTATTATGACTACACTATCTCCAAATGGAAAT